ACATAAACAATGCACTACATGTGACCGGATTTCTCACATACACCAACATTTGATGTTTAGTCGGGGCATGTTAAAACATGCTGCAACAAATCTGTCTTCCATAGGGGATGTGTCTTTGCATTGGAACCCACAGGGGCATAGGAATAAAGGAAGGCCAAAAAACACATGGAGAACAGAGCTGGAGAATAAAGTTATAAAGATGGGGAGGACATGGGGAGAACTCCATGTAATGGTGAAGGATAGAACGACTTGGCATGAGTTGGTTGAGGGCCTATGCTCCATTGGGGGATAGAAAGGCAGAAGAAGAAGAAGAGATAGGGGATGTGGAAATAGGCTCTGTGGATTTAGTATCCCTATTATTTTGTTGATGTTACAATTGACTAACTGGAGCATCAACTTATGGCCTTTTGAAATGGAAAGGTTAAGTTAACACACATTATGTTTCTGCTTTATTACGTCTATTGATACCACACAAGCCATCATATACTGTTTAGTTAATCAAAAGACTGTGTACATTTCTGTCTCTTCTTGTACTACAGATGGCTGATACATTAACTCATTAATCTAAAGTGTTAGTTTTACAACTGCAGACCTATAGTGTTATTAACTTTTTTGGGGGGACAAACAATTGCTACTTTAAAACAGAATTTCTTGAAATATAAAGGGTTAAAGTAATCATAGGCTGATACCGAAAGCATTACTCCATTCTATCCCACCAGTCACATAACCCCATGACTAATCAATCATTACTCAAAAGTACATTTACAGACGGTGTTGCAGTAACAATTGGTTAGTATTGAAAGGGCTGAGATATTAAATTGTCCATGATGTTGATATGTAATATACAGAAAAAAAAACATTCTATCTCTATATATTGTAAAGATAATTTAAGAGATGTATACAAATAAAAACATGTGAGATACAGAGGTGCTGAACCACAACCAGGGTTCATGCCAGACAGTCTCTATCTATACTTTTCTGTGATCATCCAAAAGCTCAGGCCCTATTCAATGTAGAACCAATCTACATTCCTCCAGCATCAGTGTGGATCTGCCTGAGAGGCAAGGAACCAACAGTAAGTACACATTAATAAGTCAAATCTGTAAAATGGATATGCATGCAACACTTAAGTTCTGGAATAAAACCGAAGTCCATAACTGGACAAACAACCACAACTTTCTTCCACAGTTTACAGCTGGTGAACATGAAGAAAAAGAAAAAGAAGAAGAAGAAGAAGAAGAAGAAAAAAGAAGAAGAAGCAGAAGAAGAAGAAGAAGAAGAAGAAGAAGAAGAAGAAGAAGAAGAAGAAGAAGAGAAAGATAAAGGAGAAGAAGCAAGAGTAAAAGCAGGAGGAGGACGAGAAACAGACATATCTTTTATATCAAATAAAAACAGCCAAATGTATCTCACTGTAGCAAATATAAATAATAACATTAATTTATTGTTCACTGACTCTCTAACAATAAAATATTACATTTAAAATCAGTGACATTGTTCACTGGTTCTGTAAAAGTTAGCTTTATAAATAACATTGGTTTAATTATTCATCATAATAGTGCAGTGAAATAAAAAAAAACACCAGTTTTGTTGCAGGATGGTTTTATGATATAAAAATACATATAAAGCAAAACAGCTTTATAGTTTTCACAGTTTTTATAACACCGTGGGGTTGTAATGACATCATCTTACTGCTCGATTACTTCACAGTATAATTTTAGAAATAAAAATAGTTTTATTGTTGCTGTCTCAGTAAAATTGGAATGTTACTAAAAACATTAGATCTGCTGTCTTAGAAAGAATGGAATACTAAAGATAACATCAATTTTGCTGTTTAAGGCCAAGGCAACATTTTTTTGACTTGCTCACACTGCATAGAGTTATTGAAACATTTATCACAGTTTATAACAAAATATTTATGTTTTGAATGAAGTTGCATAAACCTTATATAGGTTATTTATACACAGAAAGAGAACAACATATTTTACAACTTTTATAACTCATAACTGCATAATGGGAGAGAATCAGCTACTATGGCAGGATGGGCGACTGATAATTTTCTTGTTCTTCGTGTTCACAGGCGGTAAACTCCGGTGGAGAGTTCTGGTTGTTTATCAACCTCAGCATGTGAATTTTGCACTAAAACTTACAGGTTATCAACAACTACCCAATACCGTCATGGCATGTAACTGGGTCTTAATGTTTACCTTCTTTCTTTCTCATTTTCTCTCTCTCTCTCTCTCTCTCTCTCTCTCTCTTCACTGGCCTCTATCTCTCCATCCATCCTCTATATCAGTGGTTCTCAATCTTCCTAATGCCATGACCCTTCAATACAGATCCTCATGTTATGGCGACCCCCAACCATATATTTATTTTCACTGCTACTTCATTACTTCAGTGAATGTGTTTTCCTATGGTCTTTGGCGACCCCTGTGAAAGGCTTGTTCGACCCATAAAAGGATCGCAACCCACAGGCTGAGAACCTCTGATCTATATGACTATGTAATTATGTGTGCATGTATGTGTGTATGCATGTTTTATGTCGGTCACTCTGTACAAAATGTCTTCCTCCACTTTAAAAGATTATTTTCTCAAAAACTGTTTCTGTTACAAATGGTGTTTCTCATCTGATATTTATGTACCATCTATTTTGGTATTGTGTCTCTGATGGTTATGTACAAATGACTGATTCTTGCACTGTTTCCTTAATCGTGTCAGTATTTGTACAAAGTTCATTCTCATTATTTGCCTATGTTTGTGAAAGAGATACTCTCCTGCTATTTTTCTCTCTGTGAAAAATACATTCTCCTAACTTACATCTTTGTGAAAAATCTATTCACCTGCCTTGCAACTCTGTGCAAAATATATTGTCTTGCAACTTCTGCACACACAAAAATCTATGGTCTTGCCTTGAATCTCCATGTGAAAAATGTATTGTCTTGCAAAAAATCTATTGTCTTGCCTTGAATCTCCATGTGAAAAATGTATTGTTTTGCAAAAAATCTTTTGTCTTGCCTTGAATCTCCATGTTAAAAATGTATTGTCTTGCAAAAAATCTATTGTCCTGCCTTGAATCTCCATGTGAAAAATGTATTGTTTTGCAAAAAATCTTTTGTCTTGCCTTGAATCTCCATGTTAAAAATGTATTGTCTTGCAAAAAATCTATTGTCCTGCCCTGCCTCCCTGTGGAGAAAAGATATTGACCCATTATACTTCTCTCCATGAAAAATCTAGTCTCCTGCCTGACATCTGTCTGGGTAAAATCTCTTCTCCTGCCTTGCATCTCTCTGTAAAACATAATTCTCTTCTTTGTCTTCCTCAGTGAAGGATCCATTCTTCTTCTTTACCTGTCTCTATATACAACAACTTTTCTGACATGAGTACACCAGCCTCTCCATGTAATAAATCAGTGACAAGCTACTTAATCATGTATGAGCTTACTGACTGAATGTCACATGAGTACACCAGCCTCTCCATGTAATAAATCAGTGACAAGCTACTTAATCATGTATGATCTTACTGACTGAATGTCACATGAGTACACCAGCCTCTCCATGTAATAAATCAGTGACAAGCTACTTAATCATGTATGATCTTACTGACTGAATGTCACATGAGTACACCAGCCTCTACATGTAATAAATCAGTGACAAGCTACTTAATCATGTATGAGCTTACTGACTGAATGTCACATGAGTACACCAGCCTCTACATGTAATAAATCAGTGACAAGCTACTTAATCATGTATGAGCTTACTGACTGAATGTCACATGAGTTAGGTTAGTTGCGTATCCTTTACAGGACGTTGCAGAACCAACCCCAACAGCCCCTGGCTGTTGTGTGGTTTTTCTAGGCAAATTTATGTCCAGTAGTTTGCCACTGCTTTCTGGACGGTTGGCTTTCTTGATACCACTGTCGAAACAAATGCAAGGTGCATGGCCCGCAGCTGTGATCGAACCCGGCATCCCGGCATTACGAAGTGTTCGCATCGACTTAGCCACAAAGCCGACTATGTCACATGAGTACAACAGTAATAATTTAAAAAACCAATGAATGAACATCAACCAATATTCACTGAACAGACAATGTAATAATTATAATAATTATCACAAAATGGCATTAGAGTGAAAATATTTACATACATTGTAATCTGCTGTACAAAATACAGACTTTGTAAAATAATTCACTGTATTTGGAATCTGATCAAGTCTCCCACCAAGAAAATAAAAATCAGCCAATAAATGAAGCACATAATAATATGAACATCTTCAAATAGTATTCACATGTTTTTGTTTTTTGAAACATTACAATAAAATCATATATTTTTTTGTCTGGCTGCTACTCATGATGTATAAATCAACCTTTTATATCACTGGCTATGCTTTGTCTCTGCCTCTTGTCATTGCATGTGTCATCTTTCAAATCAATACTTTGTGTATCATTGACTATGTTCAAAATAATGTTTTTCTGTAATGAAATTAAATAATGTGGATTCAAATTATGCATTGCACAATCCATTGTGTGGTATATATTACTGTATCTCTTAATGTGCATTACTAAAGGGTTTTGTCTATTTCAGTCTGAAGAATTTAAGTGTGTGTGTGTGTGTGCGTGCGTGTGGTGGTGGTGGTTTGGGGGGAGGGGGGGGGAGAAAAAAGTGTGGGGGGGGGGGGGAGGGGGCTTCATTATATCTTGAGGTAACTCTGTATTCATACACCAGATGAGATACAGCAAAATATGCCAGCAAATAAATTGTGCAATGCAATGTTTGAAACTGCATTATTTAAATTTATATTCTTCATGTGTCAGTCAATGTGGCATGTGGGTTTGTAATTCTCATATTTGGTTAGAGCATACTAAAGAAATCTGACAATATTATGGGGCTTTGCGATTCTGCGTATATGAAGAATGTGAAAATGATGTATTTGTGATTTTGTTTGTGTGTTGCCGTTATCTGTTCCATTGTGTGATCCTTTGAAGCTGAAATAGTTGCTGATTGTGCCTACAAATTTGTTGTAGCTCCCAGATTAAGTTTCTTCACCATCTGCTCAAGATTTGTACAATGTCCATCCTGGCTGACTCCCAGGTTCAGAAAATCATTTCTGCCCATGTCCACCAGCTTGGTCCCATCGACTTGGGCTCTGGCAAAATTGGTTCTGTACTGGGGAAGGCCTAAGCTGTCCAGCCAGTCTTGGACATCAGTGCATGACCAGATGGAGATTGGTTTGGCTGCAAAAAGCTTGAAGTTTTTGTCTGTGGTTTTGTTCTCTTTGACATTAGTGTTTATTTCAAGAAACTCAGGTGGAGGCGGAATAAATGCATCCTGGTCATCTAATGAGGAGTCGTTGAAATCATCTGGAGGTGGTGGAGGAGGTAAAGAGGTATCACTGATTCTTTGTTGTGATGATGGCTGATCATTTCCACCACTAGAGGGCAGGCTGTGTGGTTTCACTTGTGGGTTAACACTTTTGGGCACCGAAGAAGTTCCATTCTTATCTCTAAATGCTGGTGGAGGTGGTGTTGCCTTCAATGAAGGGGGAGGTGGTGTTGCCTTCGATGGAGGTGGAGGTGCCTGCTTGCTGTGTAATTTAAAGAGTTTAATAGTTCCATTACTCAAAGATTGTTCAGTGTGTGAGTGGTCTTCTGTAACTCCAGTTACACTAGCTATTCCATTTGCCATCTTCTTTCCAGGTTGCAGATTGTTGATTCTTTCAAGAACTGACATCTGCTGGTTCTCTTTATTCCTCTGTTCTGGCAATGTATTGTCACTGGGGAGGTGAGATGGCTTGGTCACAGACATACTCTGAGCATTTGTTGCCAACTCAGAGGACTTGGGTTGCACACTGTGGCCAGTTTTCCTACTTGGTGTTATTTCAACTGGTCCTTTCTTCTCAACATTTGGTTGAAGGTTACCAGAAGATTTTTTCTTCAGGTATTCCTGGCGAGCTTTTTCTGCCAGAGAAACATAATCTGAAGGTAACAGAATTGGTGTGAGGGATGGACTCACTGGGCTTGAGGCAGCAGTTGGTGATACAGGAGTGGAAATATGAGACAACCTGTCTCCAGGCACATGAAGACCAGGTTTTGAGGCTGAGTCTGTGGATGGTGGTGGTTTAGTGGCAGAGGTTGCTGACAAAGATGCTGCTACCTTAGGTGGTGGCAGAGCAGGAGGTTTGTTACTATTTACTTTGGTGACATCCGTCCCAGTTGTCTCTGATGAAGATGAGACATTTGTGAAATTCTCACTTTGTGACGATCCTAGAGATTTCCCAACAACAGGCTTCAGATGGGCTCTGAAATTAACACTTCCATCACTTCCTGCTAGGCTGGGCACATTTGCTTTGCTGGCTAGATTCTTAGATTGGTCTGATAATTTCCAAGGTGTAACTGCCACCTCTGTGTTTTCATTCCTAGGTTCTGTCTGACTGACTGTATCATTTGGCTTCACCAAACTATCATTGGTATGATCTTCTGTCTTCTGTGATCCGAGGAATGTAACTTGTTCTGTGAATTTGGCTGTATCTTCCCCTCTGTCTGGACTTTGGCTACTATGACTACCAAAGTACTTCACTGCCTGGAGTTTCTTGTTACGGTTGAGTCGAGCTTCAATCTCACTGACAAATGATTTATCATCTGGATTTTCCAAGCGGGTCTTTCGTTTGGCCACTGCAGCCTTCAGAACTTCTTGGTTCAGGTCAAGTGTTGATTTATCTAGAAAAGAAAAACAACATTCAAATAATATTACTAATAAATTGGTAAAAACATACATTAACATTACTAACATCATTGTATCTCCTTTGACACTAGAAGAAGTAAAATAGAAACTGAAGAAGATTAACATCATTTTATGCATACCTTATCAGTCTAGATAATGATAAATCAAAAACACATCATCACTCTCATCTGATGGCCTATAAACCTAGTAACAGGCTGTAGATGTGTTGTAGTGGAATGATCAATGCTCAGGACCTCCTATGGTTCCGTTTTTTTCTATCAGTGTAAGAGGCAAAATATTAAAGTATTACCAAAGTTACCTTAACTCAGAACTGGAACGAATGAGTGAATATCTGTGACCTTAATGTTGACTGACAATGAATGTAAACAAATTATAATTTTGAGGACTGGGAATATGAAAGACACATATAAATAAAGACAACAATTTTGAGATGGAGGTATCAACAACTACAGATAAAAAGCAAACTTAGCTAGATAGAAATCGGAAATCTTGCTTCCATAACTGAGCAATCCACATTTCAATTGTTACAACAAAATGGAAATAAAAATGTGTGTTCACAATTGAAACAAATCAAGACTGAAAAAGTCAACATTTTAACAGGATAAAACTTACTTGATTGTGATGTTTTCACTTCTGACAATCTTGGCCCCTCACTTTCAAGTCGATTTTGCCTCTCAGCAACAGCTGCTAATAAGTCCTCTTTTGATATTCGGTTTGGAAGCACAGATGCAGAGTTGACAATGTTGGTTCTTCGCCTGAGTGTGGAACTGATGCCATCTTCCTCAGATGAGGATACTCCAGTTATGGCTGGCAAGGGTGGAGGAGGAGGGGGAGGTGGACCTGTTGAGAGGGAAGGACCTTTGGGTGGGGGAGGACCTGGTGGTGGTGGTGGTGGTGGTGGAGGACCAGGCGGGGGTGGTGGGGTTGACATATTAGACTGACCATAGCCAGAGCTGTCCTCTGACTTGCTGGTGTAACCGGTGGAAATGGAAGAAAGTGTGTTGCTCTTGCCGTTCCTATCGCTGATGTCACCGCTTAAGTTAGACTGAATGGAAGATCTTCTAGAACTGTCTGCACTGGAGAGTACAGAAGGTGTTGCCATGACAACACCTGATGACCTTCGGGAACTAGATAGACTCAGAGATGGGGAAGGCAAGGTTTTATTTTCATGGAGATGAATAGAGAGAGGTGAGGACTTTGCACTGTGTGTTGAGCGGGGAGAGGTGTGGGAACTGGACCCTGTAGCTGGCTCTTTGTTTGTATCACCGATGATGGAAATGACAGTTACTGTTGACATATTCTGTCTGCTTCTGTCTAGATCATAATCTGATGTATTTGCTGCATACATTGAAGCACTGCTGCTAGCTTTATCATCATCACTGTCATTGTAGTCTGGTTCAGGTTCATAGTGCTCTCTGCCCTGAACCTGACCAGGTTTTTCTGTGTGTGTATCTCCAGTAATCAACACTGTAGCATTTGGGTATTTCTGCAAAAATGTGTATGTATTCTCCATAACTTTTTCATCAGCAAATGAAATGTTTTTGTCATTAACTTGATGTGAAGTGTTTTTACTTTTAAGAGCAGTTTGGTCAGAGCTGAGAACTGTCCCTTTTGGAGTATTGACAAGTTTAGCATCAATCCCCGGCCTAAAACTGGATTCGTAATGTGCATCCTGTTGTTTACGATTTTCGATTTCTGCAGACACATTAGCATATGTTGAGTTTCTATTTCCTGTATGAATCTGAACAATTTCATGGCTGGAAAGTGTTGATGTCTGGTTAACTGGTCTTCTGCGTGGCAGATCTGGCGTGTTCGGTGCACTGTTCTTTTTTATATATACACCAGACGAAGCTGACCCCAGGTAGCCTAGAGCATCCCGTGTCTGTGATGGCTGTAGGGTTTGAGAACTGTAAGCATGTTGTGGTGCTTGACTCTTCAACCATGAATTGGAGCTGCTGGAACTGCTGCTGAGATCTTGTTCAACTGCTACAAGAATATCTGGAGTACTTCTAGATCGTTCCATTGACTGTAGGAAACAAATTTGATAATATTTGTCAATGGAAATTTTGTAGGAAATGCCTGTGATGACATCTGTCAGGCAGAATTTTCTAGAAAAACAAATGTGATAATGAAGATTAAATCTTCTTCTTCACATTCACCAGCTATGAACTCTGACAGAAGGTTTTGGTTGTTCATCATCTTCTGCACTTTGATCTTGTTCAAGAACTTAAGTTTTACATACACATCTGTTTTACAGATCTGGCTTATTTGTATGCAGACTGTTGGTTCTATGCCTCCCAGACAAATGTGCTCTGACTTTGAAGGAAACACCCCTAATTAATGACCTCCTATGACATGTGTTAAGGAAGCAGTAGGTCTATTGCTCCCCCATTAAAATTGGGTCCCAAGATCTATACAGGAAACACAGGTACATAAGAATGTGCTAAATACATAAATCATCTTTCAGTGAGAATGTTCTAGACAGCGAATGTTATAGCATCTATCGGTTATAATGTTCTAGAGAATACTGTGATTACACAAATAAGACACTCGGTTCTAGGGATCACATGTGACCATATGTCAATGATAATTTTCTAGAGAACAAATTTTATAACATCAGTCTGTCAGTATGTTATCGAGAATAAATTAAATAGGAGTCTTTGATTTTCATTAGCTTCAGTTAAACCTGCTTTATTTATATATTACCTTCAGTAGCACTCTACATCACAAACACATGAATCAACTTGTCTGCCAATTTACAGTATGATTAACTTGTTCTGTTCTAGAAAAATGTTTACTTTAACATACATCAAAAACAGTAATTACTAAAACTTATTATTATTTGCTTGATGGTTTCCTGTCTTCACTTTCCATCAAACCTACCAGCTTCCACTGAGATCTTGAGTTTATTTATCTATCATGCCATAATTTGCTCTAACTTAGATGGTCAAAAAAAATGTTTTGTAAATGTCATTACAGTGTCAGTTATCTAATGTCAAATCTTACCTGAGGTGATGACTTTTTATTGAGTTTCTTAATCCTAGATTCTGCAGGGCCCATGTGTTCTTTGTTTCCTTTGCCATTCTGGTTGTCAAAGGCTCCTGGCTGTCCTGAAACAAAGTGCTCATACTCGAGAACCGAGACCCGCTTGAGGGTGTGTGATGCCCTTACAGAGGCTATCTTGGGGTCATCTGCTGACTGTGTTGAGTGGAGAGAATGGCAGCGTAAGGTATCTTCACCGTCAAATTGTGCAATGGCTGCATCAAGTTTTTCTGTGGTGTGAAAAAAAAAATAGACAAATTACTTTTAGATCAGATGCATTACAGCTGATGAAAGAGGTGTGTGCTTTAGATAAAAGAGATTTATACAATAACTGTAGTAGAAAGAAAATATTTGCCTAAGTTGTTACATTGAGTTGGGCTTTGGGAAAGTACTAAAAAAGTTCTGGTGTGACAGGAGGTGAAGAAAAGACGCTGGTGCTGGATAGGACACACTTTGAGAAAGCCTGCAAACAATATAGCTATAATGTGTTTACACTAGAACCAACAGGGGCATAGAAATAAAGGCAGACCAAAAAACACATGGAGAAAGGAGCTAGAGAGTGAAGTTAAAAAGTTTGGGGAGGACATGGGGTGAGCTGCATGCAATAGCAAAGGATAGAATGACTCGGTGTGAGCTGGATGAGGGCCTATGCTCCACTGGGGGTTAGAAGGCAGAAGAGAAGATAGTAGAATAATAGGGTTAAACAAAATAGAAATATTTACAGCAATTTAAAATACTATCAAAGAAAATAGAGATGTTACAGGTAATATACCAAGTAACACTACATCATCATCATGTAGCAGGTCCTTTGCAGAACGTCGCTCTCATCAGTCTGCCTGAAAGAAACTCGGTCTCTCGCCAGTTCTCCCACCTCATGAACTTTCACACTCAAGGAGTCACTTATATCCTGTGCCCATCTTTGTGTCGGTCAGCCCCTGCCCCTCCTTCCTGGTACCAAGCCTTCTCCTATAATTTTTTCCAATCCGTCGTGGCGCTTGATATGACCAAAATATTTCAGCTTTTGAGAAAAGATGCTCTTTTTTAGCCAATATTCCTTGAAAGTAACACTACACTGACTCAAATATTAGATAAGGTGTCATACGCTCAATAGTCTATACCACATCTGATGGAATATCTTAAATTATATATATGCTGTCAGAGACAGATGGGCTATTATAAACTGGATTGGTTGTCATGCTAGATGGGTTCCTACACACCAGAGTGGCTCTTATGACACTTAGGCTATTACACAACAGTCTAGCATTCACTTGACTGATTGTTACACACCATAAGATCTATAACACACCGGATCAGCTGTCACTTACCAGATTGTGACCACCATGCGCTACATTTGCTACTACATACTGGTCATGATGCTACAAACTGGATCTTCTTCTTCTTCTTTCATGTGCTTGAAATAGATGATCTATATTTGTAATGTTGTCTCAAGTGTGAACATCACTGTCTTTTGTAATTCATTCAGCAACCCATAAAGTTTAGTTTGTACCAATGTTTCTCTTGGCTAAAAGTTTTGCTATTGGGACAGTCTTGAAGGACATGATCTGTTGTCTCAGGTGCCATTCCACATGTGTACATGGCTGATTTGCCAATTAAAAATTTTGTGTGCATGTGGCTGCAAAGTCGATTGTGTGCTGTTCTAAGGCGTAAAATAATAACTTTATCTGGTCTGTCCATGATATGGTAATAGTCTTGTGCCAGTTTTGGTGGCTTTCTGATTGATTTGATGAGTCTCTTTTTCTGTTGATAAGAGACTGTTAGGTCAGGTTGTTCTTCATTTGCACCTTCCTTGGCCAGTTTATCAGCTTTTTTATTTTCAGGATCTCCACAATGGGACAGTATCTGCTGCATAGTTACCTTACACTGACTTCCTAGTTTGGAGAGTAGTGTTCATATACCAGGTAATTTTCCAGATTGTAGTGCCTGAAGTATCACTCTTGCATCTGTCAGGAACACCACAGGTTGTGAAATATGGCATATATTTAACAGTTTCGCTGCTGCTATTGTGAAGGCTTAAACTTCTGCATCATAAATGTGACAGTAATTTTGTGTAGGTATATTGGCTGCATGTCTGGTATTATTTGGATGCTCAATATACCCTCCTGCTCTATTTCTGCTAGCATTTTGTGCTGACCCGTCATGTATACACAAACCCAAAAATTTGGTGGGTATTCATTGTCAGTAGAGCTAGGTTTGCTGTTTTACATTGCAGGCGGTTCTGTTCTTCCTTGTCGAATATTTCTTTCACTTCTGTCTGGGTGAGTATTGGCAACTTATAATCCTTTCTCCAAGAGACAGCATTTTCTCTTAATTTTTTTTGCATAAACTGTGTTACATTCCTACTACTTCTAGACCATGTGTGGCCAGAATAAAACTGGATAAAAAATTGAAAAAAAAAAAAAAACAGGCCAAAAATAAAATAAAAACCAAACCAAAAAAATTAAGGCCAAAAAAAAACAAAAAACGCTTAACGCACTTACACATGTAAGATGCAAAAAATAAAAAGCACAAAAAAGATTTTAAGTGGGGCCCTGAAAGGGGCCTTGTTGGTGGAACTCAGTGACAAGCTTATCGATTTCGATGTGGTGTACAAGGAAACAGCCAAGGAACAATCACGGACAGAGTGCGTAACAGCTCACACAGGCAAAAAGGAAAGGACAAATAGTAAGATCGGTAATCAAGGCACAACCGAACGCCTACAAAAAACAAAACGACCTAGAGTCAGCACACAAACAAGGACTCGATATAGTCACCGCTCAATCAGGAGCAGACTGAAAGAGTCGAGGAGCTTTATAATTTTTGTTTTCTACCAAGTTCAAGTTCAAGACAGCATTTAAGAGGCCATCAGTTGCAGGCAAATCATTCATTCACCTGCAGAGTCACTGGACCTGGCAGATGAAACTGCTTCTTTTTAGTTGTCCCGCTGCTGGATTTTGGAATCTCTCTTTCAAAGGGTGTTCAGGTATGCTAAGAAACTTTTCTGCCTGTTTTAGTATTTTGGTGTCTCTGCATTCTGTCCACGTCTGGGTCATCGCCATCTTCTCCACTTCATCTAAAGGTGTTGATTTCATCCCACCTGTTATGACTCCCAGTGTTTGATTTTGCACATTGTCTAACTTTTGTAGTGTGGTTTTTGATTCTGAACTCTATGCAGTAGACCCATGTTCAAGATGTGGCCATACACATTTTTTAATAAACTTTTCTAAGTATTTTCCCATTTGCACCCCATGTTGTTCCACTAAGTTTTCTTATGATACCTTGGCGTAGTTCACCAACTGATATTGACCAGAAACAGTGTAGGGGACAGGTCACCACCTTGGAGAATGTCATGGACTTTCTTGCTCTTGAGTCTTTCTGTCTGTCTGTACTCAGGCTCTTCTGTTATAAATTACTAACGTAATTATTTGTTGAAGCTCTATGTTAAATTATTCCTCAACAATCCCTGGTCACTTTGATGTATAATATATCTATGTTGCACGGCAATTGAAATAGTATGGTCTGTTTAATTGTCTTACACTTGTGAAATTAAAAAAATTGCATTACCACCCCTTGCGCCTCTGATGCTAAACCCCTGGGACTCACAGAGTTAATGAGGATGAATCTGTTTTCCCCATGTCAGTCCTTCAGTTTCTCACCCTTCTGATCTTTGTGATCATAGGTCCAATTGTGTGAGATGAGTGTTGAAATCCCCACACCACTTCTCCTCTGGATATGTTATTTCCTACATGGGCTTGGACATACTACAGAGGTTAGCAAATACAAGAAAGGATTATCACTGACCTATTTCAGCTAGACCCTCTGCCATAGACCTTGAACTTGCCTTACTGTAAGACAGAGAGGTTCTGGGGTCCCTCTGTGGGGGCAATGGGGCAGCTGAAATGTAACATGAAACAATACATATTTGACAAAATAATAAGACATACAACTGTTCTTCCCTCATTCCATTTCCTTGTCTGCTGAATTACAATATTTGTACTTGTTCTGTCCTACTTTAACATATATCCAAAGCAATAATTACTATAACTTATTATTTGCTAGGTAGTTTCTTGTTTCCCCTGTGCTCATTTTCCATCAAACTTACCAGCTGTCATCAAGTTCTTGAGTTTATTTACTTACATTGGTCTATCTTAGATGGTCAGTAATCATGTCCAAGACATCACTATTTTATCTTTCCTCACAGACTACTAATACATCTTCTGTCCTAGACTTTTACAGCATCTTAGCTCAGATTCCAAATCTCTATCATAGATCTTGAGCTTAGAAAAAAGTCCATGTCCTAGCATGGTCTTCTACTACCACAGCTGCCGCTGTAGCCACTGCTACTACCACTAATACTTCTACTAATTCTTCTTCTTCTTCGCGTTCACCAGCTGTACACTCTGGCGGAAAGTTCTGGTTGCTCGTCCACTAATGAACTGCAGTCCTGCTTCAGAACTGGAGTCTTGCGTATGCATCAGTTTTACAGATCTCATTCTCTTGAATACAGACTGTTGGTTCCTTGCCTCTACTCTTACGACATGCTTTTGGGGAGGCAGTGGGTCTATTCTTGTTTTCCCCACAATGGAGCCCCAGAACCCACACGGGGGACTTCTACTAATAATACCACTACTGTTACTGCTACTAATGCTACAACTATCATATGACTGTTAATGCTCCTTTTATTTATTTGACTAATGTTTTGTTTGGCCATTTAATTAGAATGAATCCAGTGATGCCAGCAATGACAGTGTACAACAATAAAAGTAGAAACACCCAGAGGTAGGGGATGACCAAGAAAAATATGGGTTGAAGAAGTCACTTACCGGACAACGGAGCATGTCCTAGCTGTTAACCTGTGACATCTAGTGGCACAAAGTAGAAAACTGATGAAAGAAAAGAAGAATAAAGGCTTACCTTGCTTCTTGCGAGTTGGCAGGGTCATGGCACCACTATCTGGGTGCATGAACCAATCAGCTGGGATGTTGTCATTATGGGTGACAGTGACCACTTTAAGAGCCAGGACATCGCTGGAGGATCGGATCAGGTGCACCACATGTTCATGTGATGCTTTCACAACGTTTTCTCCATTGATCTGTGTAATGTCAAGTTATTGACAGATTGCATCAAAAAAGATGTCTTATAATATCTTTTGATTTTTGACTTTTTTTTTTTTTTAATCATGAGCAGCCAGTTGAGTGATTAGAATGCCAGGCTCAAGTTGGAGATCCAGGTTTAAATTTTCAGCAGTTATGGATATTTTCTATCAGTGGTAAAAATAACAGGCTAACCTATACAATCTGTGGCAATAGCACTAGCCAGGCAACCCTAAATTTCCAGGTTCAAAGACCCCCCTACCCTCCCAGTCTAAGCCACAACAATGGTAAATACAAGCAGCCTACTACCAGTTTTTGGCAGTTGCCATAATGAGTTTGTCTCAATTCCCTGGTTACACAGCACGCATGGCTCCTAGCTTTTTTTCTTTCACTCTGTTCCATCCTCTGCAGCTGTTTCAATACTGTGGATGGAATCCGGCCCAGCATCTTTGGCATCTGTTATTAGAACACATGGTATGGTTTCTTTTGAGTTTGAGCATCCTTGTTTCATCAGTCTGTTTGTTTCCCATTCACGTGCTTATTTGGCGATTCTTTGCTTCTCCTCAGGATGTGCCCAGTACATCACTATCTCCGTCATCTTATATCAGTTGATATCTGCAGTTGCCCAGATATTTATCTTAATTTTTTTGCCTTTCTTGAATATGTCACATTTAATGTTCAGTCATTTTCTTGGGCTTTTTTTTAATGCATTTAACTTTCATTACATGTCTTTAGTAGTTCTCCAACTTCTACTGGCAAACATTCAAACTGAAATAACTCTGGAACTGAAATTACGTAACGTGGTTTAAAAAAAAATTAGAATGCCATATTTTGTTAAGATGTTTAAAAGCAGCTAATGCCTTGCCAGTGTGTGTTAGGATCGATTTGTATGTATGTGTGTGCATGTGTGTGAGTGTGTGCATGTGTATGTGTGTCCCATAGAAATCAAAATTGCTACCTAAATAGGTCATTACTTTGTTTCTGTAGCTCCTGTTGTTTCCAGTGTGACTTTTCCTGATGTTCTGAGGTGGGGAAGGTATGTGTACCCTGAATGGTTCCCTTGACAGTACCCAAGTGATTTAGGTGATATCTCCAGCATCTCAACTGCTACAAAGAGAGTAAAGGACCCTTTTCCACATCTTCAGGCATACTGGGGAATAGGGCTGGGCCTATATTTTATAGACCAATCAGCACTTTTAGGTGATGTTATCAACATAATGCCAGCCACCTTTACTTCCCAGGACTGCATCTGGTACCAATTTAAGGCTGAGTCAACTTGAGCGCCAAGGTCATTTTTTGGAAAGCCCAGCTCAAGGTCAAGTCCATCAGCACCTTAACCCACAACCTTCTGATTCGAGGAAAGTGTATAGCCACTACACCACAGTGGATCCCACACTTCCTATAGGACTACCTGTAATGATCTTCAGCAACAATTGCAACATTAAGAGTAGCAACAATAACAAACAAACTTCATTCTGTGAAGTCAAGCTTGTTCACCTTTAACTGTACATAAAATCAAGCTTAGATTTACTATACATCTTTAGACAGTTGGAAATCTGGCAAACTGGCAAACAGAAATACAGACACACAGAACACACCTCTATGATGAAGTCACCGCTTCGAAGTCCCACCCTGTCAGCCTGAGACCCTGGGTCCACACTGTCCAGATACTGCAGGGCTGGGAATTCAGCACTTGGGGTGAAGTCGCTGAAACCTCCACTTGTGTTCAGTTTAGCTAATGACAGTCAGAACAGATCTTTGTTGTGTAAAATAACAAATATATGTACAGAAATGCAAACGAAAACAAGCAGGGATATATTCATTTGTGCGCAAATAACAAACACATAATTTCCTGTATGTGGTCCAGGTTCCCATTTTAAGAAAATAAGAAGAGATGCAATGCTTTCTATCAGAGTTAGAGTTGGCTGTGTATTCTTTACAGGATGTCGCAAAACCAACTCCAACCTTTTTTTTTGGATGTTCGTAATTTCTCCATGCAGTTTAATTTTCAGTAGTTTGCCGTTGCTTACTGAATTGTCAGCTCTCGATACCATCGTAAAAAGAAACAATGCAAGGCAGTCTGTTACCAAATCATCTGCAGCTGGGATTGAACCCAGTAATGCATAATTACAGAGTTTGCAATATCTAAGCCACAGGTGCCAACTCTCATACAAGCATATCATAAAAGATGACCAACTATCAGTGTAAAAAACAACCGCTAGCTTGCCAACCACAGATTAAAGGTGACTGCAGCAGAAGAAGAAGAAGAAAAAGAAACATACATATTAACAAAGTAGCTAAATATGCTCCATTATAAACTGTAATAAAAATTTTTCAACAGAAATCAACAGGTGGATGACCAAAGCAATGCAAAGATTAAATAGCATTAAAAGCCTATGGCTTAGCACCAGCAAGGAAATCAAGGTCAGTATTTTGAGAGCATGCATCTTCTCTGTAGCAACACACAGATGTGAGTCATTAAATAATAAAATAGGAATTTTTGAGCTGAAATGCTACTGAAAGATTCTCATTATACCATAGTAAGAAAAGAAATGTTGACATTTAAAAGATCTGATCATAAAAATCTTGGCTTGTAAACAGCATCTTGTTTCAGAAACTGACAAAATTTGGCCATATCCAGCACCATGATGGATTGAACAAGTAAAAGCAGAAGGCATGGTACCAGGAAAAAGAGGCTAGGGCCATCCAGCATGAAGATGGGCATTGGATATAAGTGACAACTTGGTTAGAAAAGTCCAGGAGGTGGGAAAGCTGGTGAGGGATCAAATTTCTTTCAGGCAAAACGTGATCAGAGCAACACACTACAGAGAATCTGCTACATGTTGATGAGCTAAATACACAATATAAATGAGAGTATATGAAACTGCAGTGGCACATTGGTTAGTTTTATTGCCTGACAAGTAGATGGTCTGTGTTAAATCACCAGAAATTATTTAATTAATAAGTTTTTACTATGAAGACCAGGTGTCGGCCTGGCCTCATAAAGATGAATAATTTTCTGGGAACTGTCATGGAAAGAACAATGATGAGGAAGGGAAGTGGTCCTTGTATGGCAACCCAACACATCACATCCCAACACCATCAATGGCTCTAGGAGTAGCGTTATGAGAATATATGGTCAGGTAGGGACCAGCATGTTTTACAGATGCCGACAGATCACCATCCAGCTACTTGCGCAAATCAAAGAATGTGAAATGAATCACAGATATTTAGACAATTCATAAAAATATTTTTGGATGCAGTGGAGATGTGGTTTTTTAGTTGAATTATGAGAATACCCCGCACCGATAAAGAAGAGTAATGAAGATGACTTGAGAAAAACTGACTCACGAAGAGAACCAATCACAAGTAATCAGAAGGAGACAGTGTCATTTCTTTAGTCACATCATGAGAAGGAGGAAACTGGAGTACATTTTGATGATAGGGAAGTTAACGGGAAAAAGAGACAGAGGGAGACCAAAAAAGAATGGTAGACAATTTGAAATCATGTCATAAAAGATCATCTTGGCCAAAATTTATTGAAAGTACACAAGACAGAAGGTGCCACTGCCACATGGCAAAGACTTTAAGAAGCACACAAGACAGAATGTTGCGAATATCCAAGACCACCAACGCCGCATGAAATGGACTATAAGAAGAAGAACTAGCTTAAAACCATACATCAGTAACTGCTATGGCGTTTGCTTTGTGAGAGAATGTGGTACATGGGTGGGTGAAGAAAACAATGACCAGGTAATTACAGAGTTAAACAGAAGATACTAAGATGTGGATATACAGAAGGTAAGGTCATAATTATTGATACCAAAGCAATAAAATACAGGGTGTTTGATGAGACTGGGACTGAAAAGAGAGTGATTAAAATTCATGAAGAAGAACAAATAGGTTTAAATACTAAGGTCAGAATAAAGGAAAAAACATTAATGAAAACCATGTTGCAAGACAAAATGAAGGCTGGTCTTCAATTCATGTAGAAGGATAACTCCGAGTAATAGAAATACATCAGTCTCTAAGAAAGTACAGTCATGTGAAGAGTCAAATTGATTTGAATGATTGTCTATGTATGTGTGCTTTCAAAGATGACTGTATTTACACAAATAAAACCTCTATTGCCTTTTGTATTCTTGTTTTGATAAGTATTCTGTTTGTATATCTTTGTCTGTGTTGTGGCTGTACATACATTATTAAAGCTTTGATATATATATATATAAGTGTGTGTGTGTGTGTGTCAGCGTCTGTGGCTTAGGCATTGTAAATGTGCTGCGTAATGCAGGGTTCAATCCCTGTTGCGGATGATTTGTCTTGCACTGGTATCGAGAGCTGACCATTCAGGAAGCAGAGGAAAACTATTGAAAGTACAATTTGCCTAGAAAAACCACAACAGCCAATAAATGCTGGGGTTGGTTCTGCAACATCATGTAAAGGAAACACAACTAACTTTATATATTTATGTATATGTATATGTCTATCTCCTTCTGCCCTGAAGCTCTCTTCTGTCTCCCATCTGGTTCTCTGGCTGTCTCTCAGTTGACTGCTTTCTGTATATCTTCTGACCTACTGTCCTTTGATAGTATGTTAGATGGACCTGGGTGTCAAATTCTTAATCCTTTGAAATAAAGTTATTCTTCGTTTATTCTATCTCTTTGTCACACAAACACACATACATATATGCACACGCACACTCTCTAATTTAGATCTACATTTGCTTTTCTTTCCTAATCTCTGACTCTGCCTTATTGTCCGGTTATCTCTTTAACCCTGGCTATCAATCTAGGCTGAATGAAATAATGGACATAAGAGAATTTGTATAATGTTGGCCTAAACAAGTGGTTTTCAACTTTTCAACCTGGGGACACAGGGAAGCAAATGTGGTGAGAAAAAAAGAGGGTGGGTGTCAAGCATTGTTGAAATTGAGTGCATTTGTACTTGCAATCATATTTTTATACTAGTTATTTTTTATTTTTTTTTTTTATTTTGACTACAGTTAAAATTGTATGGTCATAAATAGAGAACAGTGCGGCCAGCTTGATGCGGATAATCATCTCTGTTGTGCCCTGTTCAACTTCAGATCAAAAACAGAAGATATCAAGTCAAAACAGCATCAATCATCACATTGATATTTGGACTCTAAATTACACATTGTTAGTGATTGTTTCTTTGAAGTTATTTGTAGCTTTTGATTTATGTGTATGTTTTTCTCCAAGTTCTAGTTAACAGTGCTTGGGATTTATTTTTCTCCTACTCCTTTCGATCACATTTTTTTTTTTAAAGTTAGGTGGGACATCTTTCCATATATTCATGGTGGGGGGGGGGGGGGGGAGGGATGGGGGACATTTTTAAAATAAAAAGTTCAAAACCACTGACACAAGAACAGTTATAGTAGAAACATGCAGAGAAAGAAAACTTACATTTGGCACCACGAAGAACAAATCCATATCCTTCAGCACTTCGATGTAGTAACACAACTCGTGGCTTGTGTGTTCTGGAAGAAAAATACATACTGGATTCATGAAATCTGGCTAGCAGATACCTACAAGACAGTAACTCTGAAGATATACAGGAAATAGACAAGCATTAGTACAGCTGAGAGACAGAAAACTAGCAGACAGACAGTTAAAAGAAAGCTTTAAGTCAGACAGACAGAAAACAGTCCAAAAATAAGTACAGCTAACAAAAAACATATCAGAAGTCCTACAGTCAGAAAACAGTCAGCTGCAAGACAGGAAGCAGACATTTAGAGGATGAAACGGTTGACAGAAAGCAAGCAGACAATAAGTAGGATGAGCGGAAAATCTTAGACATCTGGTATATAGTTAGGGAACACATAGTTGACAGTGATATGTAGATGACAATTACATAAAAAAAATTAACTGAATGACAATTGTAAAACAAAAATGCTGCAGATAGACAGAACAACTGACAGTACAGAATTAGAAAGTGGACTGAATACAGACATGCAATAAATAAGATAAGAGCAGATAAAATCAATAAATAGCAAACATTTAGTCAAAAAGACATCACACATACTATCAGAGCACACAATCATAAGCAGCAAAAATACAGTGGACGTACAGACAAATAACACCATCCTTATGGGGTGTTTTTTTTTTAACAGCAAACATACGGCCATTTATGAAAAGACAAATATTATCTAGACAACAGTAATAGATCAAGTAGATTGACACTGAGGCAAACAAGAATTAAAGTAACAGATCCATTTGCATTTAAGCTATTATGTTTGTTTGGGAAACATAAAGAAAGAAATCATGATAATCAAAGGCAAGGCAAGGGCACCTTTCTGAAAGTTTAAACAAAACATGGGACTCTAGATTTGTAAAACCAAGTTGCACATTTTTGTGTTTCTTTGTTTTCACAAATGTTGTTGACAGCTAGAGAATCACTAAAGAAATAAAACAAAAGCCAAATGTATTCAAAAACAATTGTAAAGTAAGTAAAGATCCTTTTTCACGCCTTTAAGCGCATCGTCCTTTTGGGAAGAGCACCCATATTTTGACAGATTGTGAGCCCTAAGCGATATATAACAGCACAACATGTGATGATGATATGGCTTTAGGAACAGGGAAAACGAGTAGAGATCAGATAACATATTGGGCACAGCGAACAATCGGACACCGTTAATGACAACATAGCTATAGCAGAAGACAGATTTAGCCAGAAAAAGGACTCCACATAACAAAGATACTTCCAAAAATTATGGAAATGCATTGCTAAAACGTCACTGATATTCAAACAATTAACATTAAACAAAGAAAAGCAGACTAGATGACTGACAAAGATTACGCGGACAGATTCGTTGGCTGGCTGAGTATCCGCTGGAACATTAAGTTTTAACTCCCGATCTACACACCTGGTCATACGGGCATAACGGGTAATTAGCCAGCGGACCAACTGACAAGCGATGTACCAATTCATATGGGAAAAAGCAAGGAAAAAGCAGAAACAGTCAAAGCTGTACGGACTGGGATAGTGGATAATGAGGTATCCCTGACACTAACACGGTTGCGTGACATGGGAGTAAAGCATGGTGCAGCACGTCTACGCCGTCTTCGAGGTCGAGATAGGAGAAATAAAACTAGCTTCTCATGGAAACAATTAATAGAAGTACTTTGGATTGGCTGCTGCATCGGAGGACTGAGTACGCATGGAAGTGTCCAATGTGTAGTGACGTCGACTGTGATGACACAAAAAGATGCTTTTTGACATGTGAAGAGAATAACCAAATACCTTTACCCCGACAGCAGGGCTATAGAAACACAATGAACACACAACAATGGAGAGACCGTGCAAACGAAGGAACCACGGCTTTGAAGATGCAAACGAAGGAACCACGGCTTTGAAGAAATTAAGAACAATGTATACAACACATTAGGAAGAACACACGGGCGATCGTTATACACAACCCGCCCTAACACTCCCAAGAGGCAACTGGGGGAAGAAACGAAGAAGGGGAAGTATCGGCGGTCAAAATGTGTGATCAATGAAATGAGGTTGTATCGCCGGGTACTAAAGTACCAAAGTACAGTGGAGCCTTGTTCCAGTCTCCCACACCCCCATATTCAGTACACGCACGCACACCCACACACACATACATACGCTTCCGGTTAAAATGGACGCTAGACAGCGGCGCCGTTCGGAACAGAGGCACATTTTTTGCTTCTGCCGAACGGTGGCCGATGCATTTTTGCTCCATTTGTAGACTGGATATAGTTTCGTCGCCCAGCTTCTGAGTTGAATGCATGGCGTGACCCTGTGAGCTGCGGATTGCATTTGGAATGTTTTTTTTTTTTTCGACTGTGACCAACGTGGTGGTGTGAATTGTAGATTCAGAAAATGGCGCGATGCCTGTCGTTCAATGCTGGCGGGACCCGTATTAAAACTGATCACGCGGACAACTGCTGATCTGTTGACGACAAGTTCTGCTATCATCAATGATGAACTGCATTTCTAATGTTGGACTGTTTGTGTTAGCACTTCGGATGGCTACTATATGCTTTAATGCGAGTGTATGCTAGATATTCTGAGACAGCAGTCTGTCAATCTTTCCACAAGGAACTGTGATAGACATTCTGAGTGTTTTTCGCTGGCACAGGAGCGGAGCAAAGATGGGGCAACCCGTTTGCTATGAAGCTGAAACTAAGACTACCAGACTACACATACATACATACATGTATACATACAAACATACACGTACGTACTTATTACATGCATACATACATACATACATACATACATATGAACGTAAGTAACTACATACATATGAACGTACGTATAACACACCCCCCCCCCCCCCCACACACACAATTTTTTTTAACGAGAAAATGTAGACAGACTGCTACGGATTTAAACAAAAACACGGACGGATCGTGTAATCAACCATCAACACTTGAAACAAATGATATAGAAAAAGATATTGGCAAATCAAGCAAGTAAATGGAGTAATACAGACAAAAACAAACAATACGCAGAGAAAGTAGGTAGACAGAAAAATGCACTTAATGAAACGGCCCGCCAGTTAATGTACTGTATCACATAAATGTGCCGTCAACATGCCATGGCTGTCAACTAATCAGTCACTGGCTTCTTCCCTGTCACAGGTGACCTGAATTCATCATCGTGTGTAACCAAATGTCCCTTACTTTTCATCATACCTAACATTCCCATAGATTAAGTGCATGACTTATGTCTTGCACCAGATCCATTTATGTACTAGGCTGTCATGTTTTCACAATGAAATAAACGAAACATGTCTCAGAAATAATATCAGTTAAAGCTTGATTTCAACATGTTTGTGTACGCTGTGATAATACACGACCTGGTGACACACTTTTGTTTAAAAACAAAAATTATATCTCAGCTGAAGTAGAATACAAATGGATGAAATTATATAATAATATTTACTTCATTCTCAACGTTGTGTCAGACTTAAACCCCCTCCCCCCTCCTCCCACCCCCTTTTTTTTAACACACGTAAAACGAGTAATTAGGTTGCATTATTGCTAATGCGAGATATATAAATATAACATGGTCCTTGCAGGCTTGCTTTTTAAGAGTTATACAGCACAAAGTTCAATGTAAGCAAAAGAACTTTCACCAAAACGCGTGTTTCTTGTGTTTCACGTAATTTCTTAATGTTTCAAAATTTTGTCAAAAGTTGTAAAAGGGTAATTTATGCGGTTAAGGTTAGGATAATTTACATCGTTACTGCAACATTTGTTTAGTCATATAACTAAAATTAAGCAAATGATGAAAATAAACAGGGAAAAAAAAGTTTCGTTACAAGTTGGCAGTCTAAATAATAATTATGTATAAAAACATTATCATCGAGATGAAAGTATGAGCCTTTGAAACAAGGAAAACGTTCCTATGATATGTAACTACCGATAAATCATTGAAACAACACAGGAATGAAGCAGTCAACGCACTATAACATGGCTCTTCTCAGAAAGATGGGCATTCGGGGAAGGAGGTCGGTAAACAACTAAACAAGAACAAAACCTTTCAGCACAGCTACCCATTTAATCATCAAAGAACCAGTTAATGATATAACATTATAACTATGAAATCTTCTAAATAGCTAGTCAAGCAAACAGCCAAGCACACAAGAAACTAATAAACGAGTAAGCAAGCAGACAAGCGTACAGCAAATCAGTCAAGCAAAATATCAACCAATTAAGCATACAAGACACTAATCAACCTAGAAAAAAACACACACACACACACACACAACCAATCGAGTAACCCACAATTAGCTAAATCAAGCAAGACCACCCCCCGCCCCGTTTACCTCCCAAACTAACTAACTTGCATGTTAACATAATGAGCCATCTTTCTCTGTCTTCTGCTAGTTGAACAAACGTATACTAATTTTATCCTGTCAATTTCTTGAGTTTTCGTCCAATATTCTTTTTTACCTCCTTTTTCTTCGACCACCCCACCCTCTGCACATCTCCCCCCCCCCCCCTTTTTTTTTCTTTCTTCCAATGCTCCTTGAAACATAATCTTTGCAATCGAATCATGTCTCACTACGTGCCCGAATCAAACAAGCTTGCGAAACAAACAAACCTAGAAACACACTTTCCAAAGAAACCCACAAATTAAACAACCAACAATTCACTCAGTCAATTGATTAAGCTCATAACTCGGCAAATGTTCACTAAACGTCTCACTAGTAAACTCTTGACATGCCGAGTCTGCTTGTGAGTGTAAAACATTTAGCTCATTCTTGGTGTCACATATCGCTCCTGTCACGTGCCTGATTTAAGGATTTCTCCTTAAGAACAAAAAGCACTCTGAAAAAATTATGTTGAGTCGTTGGCTCGTATTGGTCTAAGGGATATCCTGTGGCCAATATACGCTCAACTTGTTTCAGGAGTAGGGCAACTCAAGCTCTGGCACTACAGAATATCTACTATTCATAGGCACACTTGGCTGGACCCCTCCACTACTATAAAAAGGTAGCCC